CTGTCTGTGGCCGGTGCTATTATTGGACTTGGCAACGTGTGGAGATTTCCATATCTTTGCTACAAGAATGGCGGGGGTGAGTATTTCTGTTATTCTCCCCCTTACTTAACCAAATGTCTGAACCTCCGAAACTCTTTGTTCCCATAATAAAAAACAGAGAGAGAGAGAGAGAGAGAGAGAGAGAGAGAGAGAGAGAGAGAGAGAGAGAGAGAGAGAAAAGAAACAGAATGACCAGTAGACTATTGTTTTATTAATCGCAGATGACTTTTTCTTGGTTGGGGGAGGATGAAAAACACATTAAATGGTTGATAAGCAGCTTAGTTTTCATCCCCGTTTCCTTCTGTCCCACAGGTTATTGAAAAAAAAAATACATTGCCAGATTTATTCTGTTTTTTTATTACAAAGAAAGTTGCTTTCGCCTTTTTTTCTAGCCTAATTTGAATTTTACTGATTAATCTGCAGAGTTTTAGGCGCATGACAGAAGCAAACAACAAAAAGTGCGCTGGATCAATGCAACAGTGTTTTGGAACAGGGCAGCAAGTTTACCAATCAGAACAAGTTACAAAGCAAACGCCATGTGATGATCTCAGTGTAATAAGGAGTAAAGTAAGTAAAACATCCCGAAAGTCGTTATATTAGTAAATGTTTACACGAGAAGCAGTCGGTTAAACCATCGTAACAAATGCCACTGGTATATGAAGCTGGACTAGAAAACAAGCTCAAGAACCGCCTTTCAGTCAAAGCGCAGGGCGTGGAGCCGGAGTCAGCGTGGTTTTCACGAGCCAGTCTCAGCGGAGACTACACACCTGTTACGTAACGCAGTACCAAACCGCTGCGGTGCGCAGAAAGTCCCACAGTGCATACTTTTCGCATACGGAGCTTATTATCACCACTACTGGCGCACATCCCAGGACTGCTCCTCACCAGAAAACAGTCTGTCCACACGGATGCACAGACCGTGGAGCTGCTCGTTATAGTGTCGTTAGTTATACCAGGGGCGATTCCAGGATCAGAGCTTTGGGGGTGCTGAGCACCCAGAGAGTTGCCCAGCCAGGCAAGATAAACCTGTCTCTGTCAGTCCCTGCATCCTTAAATGTTGTCCCGACTCCCGAGTTCTCTCTGACTGTCACTTTGGTGCATTTAAACCCCTGTTCCTCCCTGTCCTCATTGTCTGTTGTCTTCGTCTCCGTTATCAGTCATCATAATTTTACCATCTCTGTGCAAGTCTGCAAATTTCTTTATTAAATCATACGATTCTTAAATTCATCAAGTCTCTCTGTGCCTGTGTCCTCGTCACAAAACATGACATCACTGTTTTGTACATTTTAACACAATTTAATCCCCACAGTTGTGAAAGAAAAGCAAAACACTTTGCCTGTAACAAAACCATCAAATCTGATAAAGGTTATTTAAATGCTGCAAAAGAAGAATGGATTGGAATAGAAAAAAATACATATCCTAACCTTAATTACTCGGGGAGAATAATGAGTGATGCTCATAGTGAGTAAAAAGTAAACTGAGTGCATTTTATGGACAGAGATTCACTTTTATTGTGTATGTATAATATAATACAGATACATTAAAAAAACACTCCCAAAACAGAATAAATTATTACAAATAAATTATTACAAAATATTAATAAAAACTATAAAAATGGAGGCAACTTTGCCTGTGGTAGAATGTATACAATGACAACAAATCTTTATTGCAGATACTAATTTTACTAATTTAATAATAATAACTTTGTGTTGTAAGATTTATGAGGTTCATGCTTTCATAGTGGTCCTTGGGAGAGCTTGACATTTTTATCAGGTGGTACACACTGTAAGAAGTTTGAGAAACACTGATAAGTGTATGTGTGCTTTTGGAAAACATTTAAAGCTGCTGTACAGAATCTTTGAAACAAGATTAAAACATTTTTAGAATATAAACAGAGCATCTGCTTCTCTTTACAGCTCCTCACTCCACCAGGGCTGTTTGGCACTTTCTGATAGTGTGCAAATGTGATGTACGTACTGCGGCAGTCATACAGGCAACTGGACGGTCCAAAAGTTGGCCTACCTATTACTGGCTGAGGTTTTAGTAGAGTTGTGGCTGAACCACATAAAAATATATCATTAATTTTAATCTCCCCAATCAATTATAATGTTATGTTGGAATGTTGTTAAAGAGGGTCAAAAATGTTTCAACCCAGTTTGTTTTGCAGATTCTGTATAGCAGCTTTAATATAGGGAGAACACAACTTCCAGACTGTGTGAGTAAAATCAGGTTTTTTTTTCTCTTTGTCAGTTTAACAGTTTCTGTTGTGCCTGTCACTGTTCCCTGTCTGTTTTCTTACCTGGTTCTTCCTGACCTTGTACTTTCTCCTCACGTTCCCCTCTGTCCTCTCTCCCTCTTTGGACTGACAATCATACACAAATAGATTGTATTCAATTAGATGAAAAATTACATTAATATGAAAAAAATTCTATTAAGATCACTAACAAAAAGTCCTCTTTCAGTCTACTTTTAACCAAAAGGCAAATAACTAAACCACATGAACATCTAATAAAAGATATAAACATTGAAACACTGATCCAACATTATTCTTGATTGATGGATCATTTGATTTTACACTTTTACCTGAATGTGGCTCCTTTTTTTGAAAAAACCTCCTTATATCCATTATGAACCTGGCTGTCTCTCTGTACACAAACACACACTCACACAACAGGAGTTATAAGGTTAATGGGCATTCAGTCAGTTAGCTAGTTAGTATCCATTTCAAAGAGGACAGTGGTAACCAACAGTAGGCTGCAGACAATTTAAAGTTTTAGATTTTAAATAGGCTGTATACATTTCAATGGGAGCAACAGGACGATCAAAAGTTGCTGAATTTACTACAGAGAAGGACGGATTGTAAGGTAGCAAACATTGTTGGAAAACACGTTTTCAACACTGCAGGTTACCTGGTGTAATGCTTTTCAGCTAAAAAGAAACATGGTCTGACTCCTACCTAACTAAGAGTAACTGAAGGTTAAACGCAGCTAACATGTCCTTTTTAAGTCAGGCACTTACACCCCCACTCCGCTGCGTCTCAGCCACCATGCTCTGGCAGCAAGAGCCCTAGAGCCAGAGTAGGGGAGAGGCGAGCTGGAACAAACCATTTTGGGAGGGGGGTTATCTATACTTTAGTTGTTAAAATGTTACGTCTCAAACAAGTACAGTACTGTATGCTTTTTATATTTTTAGTAGTGTGTCACACAAACAGCGAATGTTCTAAAAAAAAAAGTAAGAAATCTTTGGGGGTGCTTTGATTCATTTTGGGGGTGCTGAAGCGCCCCCCAAAAATGGGCTAAAATCGCCCCTGAGTTATACACAGTAGTGGTTTTAGATACGGGCGACACGGGCGGTTCCCGGGGCGGCATCGTGGTGGGGGGCGGCATCACGGGCATCGGCAAAAAAAAAAATGCTCGTACTCATGCTGCCCCAACGTCAGCCAGGGAATGGCATAGGCACCGATCGGTTTTCTATCGCCCATTTGCTGGGTGTAAGGGCGCCCTCCGTTTGCCAGGTGCGCCTGCTGCTTGCGGCACAGGGAGGAGAGGGCGGGGCGGTAGGGGATTCTCTGGCTGGAGCAGCATCTAATAATAATCAACTCACAAAATAAAAACAAAATAAAAAGAAACCAACAAACACGAAAACACCAGACATTATGATACAGAGTCAAAGGAGCTTGCAAAGAAAAGCGTCTGGACTTCTTTAAGTTATTATGATACAGACTTATAATTTGCACCGATGTTTTTTCGAAATTCTGTACACGAAAAGTGAGCGCGAGAGCCCTCGGTGCGCCTGCTCGCTGCTGAAGCCAAAGTAAACTTTATTCTCATCTCCGCTACAGTCCAGTATATAGAGAGACCAGACGACGAGCCTCCAGTTACAGCAGTGCAAGTAAACAAACAATATATATAAGAAGAGTAAGAAAATAAATATACACTTTAGGACTCGGGGTAAAGGGATCAATAACAATTTAAAATTTAAAATTTACAGTTTGATGATTTAAAGTCTCACACACAACCCGTCGAAAGGGGAGGGGGCCCGGCTGCTTCCAAATAGAGCACATTTCATTTATAATGTTGTAAATCCAAGCCCATTATCTATTCATGATTTGAATCCTGGGTTGTGTGAAATCCCAGAAATAAACTCTAGACAAAGTGAATCTGTGAACTAAGGTGTTGGTCTATTAGGTTATGTTGTGGTGATGGGTGTTCATACTGGAGTGCAAAATTAAAACCAATGGAAGATGGACAAGAAAAGTTCAAAGCCATCAGGTGCTCAGTTTAGAAAAAAGAGAAAAGAAGAGGAGAAACAAGCAAAAGATGCAGGTATGCAGATAATGGCAGGTCATCCTGAAACAATCGGAATCAGAATACTTTATTAATCCCTAAGGAAATTATGTGGGTTACAGTTGCTGCAAGAAGAAATGGTAAAAATAGCAACAGTAACAGACTAAACTCCAAACAATACATTATGTTACAGATTTTAATATTAATTAGTCCTTGTCAATTGTTGATTTGTCCTGTTCTCATTGTATGACGAATTATGATGGCTGTTTGGTGGCTATTTGCATACTATGCATACTCTCTCTCTCTTCACATGTGTGTGTGTGTGTACAACAGATTTATGTGGGTAAATGAAACAAAATTTGTCATCAGAGGATGAAAGATGAAGAGCTTTGGCAGTATTTTCTAAACCAGCGGTCCCCAACCTTTTTTGCGCCACGGACCGGTTTATGCCCAACAATATTTTCATGGACCGGCCTTTGAGGTGTCGCGGATAAATACAACAAAATAAAACTAGTACCGGTACCGAAAAAAAGAAAATTTATTCATAACACACGTGAAAAGACCCAGGAAAACCAAGTAAACGATGAAAACGATAACAAAATAACGCTGAAAACCGATAAAACCCCTGAAAACTATACATTTCACACCTGAGCCTCAACTCTTGCGGCCCGGTACCAAACGACTCACGGACCGGTACCGGTCCGAGGCCTGGGGGTTGGGGACCGCTGTTATGTATGTATGTATGTCAATTTTAATGAGATTTATAACAAGAAGAGGAGCGATTTGGCACCAAAAACAGGTTCTGTGCCTCGACAGCTGCAAATATTAATCTCAAAGAGGGTTAAAGGCCACATTTACCAGCAAGTTTACTTCAGCTGCCAGAAAGGTGTGAAAGAAAGTGTTCTTTGACACTTCAGTAAATTACTTACAGCTCTTTCTGCTGCCTTCCCTCCAGAAATACATGATACTTTCAGATTTCAACATGTAAGCTAAATCAAACCCAGCCTGTCCCGTCTCAGGAACAGGAGCTGCAGCCCAGGAGTCTTGACTTTGCCTTTTTTTAAAATGTTAAATAAAGCCAGGTTGGCAGAGTACAAATTTGTTAAACTGGACACTTTAGAACAGGATCTCAAGAGCGACTGGGTTTCTAAATCTACCCGCAAGCTTGACTTGCTGTATCACCTTTGTTTACTTGTTATACCTAAAAAATGTTGAAGAGTTTAAATTTTTAGAGGTTACCTTAGGTTTCACCCTTACATTAAGAAATCAAGCCTAACACAAGTGGTGTTTCAAATAGATCCCACAGGTGTATCTGCTAAAAAATCTCAGCCTCAAGGTCAGGGGTCAGAAGTCAAGTTTTCGAAAAATCTTGTGGATATGATAACTCAAGAAGGAAGTTACCTAACATTTTGAAATCGATACCACAAGTGCATTTACTAAAAATCTCCAACGAGTTCGAATCTCAGTGACCTTGAACTAAAGGTTAGAGGTTAGAGGTCAAGTAGTGATACCACAGGTGCATCTATTAGCAGGCTGTGCCACAGCCAGTATTTTAATTGTTGTATAATTCTGTATGTCTGATTAACACTTTGATACATTTTGCATAATTTTCCATTTGTCAGCATGTGTATCTGTTACGGTTTGGAGGAGGACTCAAGCACAGGACTCCGGTTCTGATGCTCACAAGAAGGATTTATTTACAAGTCACCAGGTGTATATACAAGAATGTGCGGGGGGGTGTTATATACAGCTGAGTGGGGGGAGAAGGGGTCTCCAGGGAAGTCCAAGGGAAAGCACGCGTTCTTCAGAATATCCACTCACACGATCACAGGCTCACACTCCGACACTGCCACACAGGAATCACACGGGGAAAAATCCAGGAAGCTCTGTAGACAGGGAGACAGGGTTAAGAACGACGCACAGAGGAAAACACTCTTAACTAAACTTGTTGTAGCTTGACTTCACTAACGCGTGGTAGACAACGACCCAGCGACGAACAGCAGTCACCTCCTGGCTTAAATGCTGCTCCAGGTGTCTCATCTCCCGAGGGCGTGGGCTGAGGGCGTGAACCCACAGTGAGTTCTGCCCCGGCGAGAGAGAAGAGGAAGAGAGAGAGAGAAACAGAGAGGGCTGATCAGCGTGCAGCTGATCCGCCTGGCCGTGACAGTATCTGTAGGTATGCATGTATGTGTGTGTGCTTGCACATGCATGTAGGTGTGAGTCTTGGCGTGTCTCTGCTGATAGACTTTATAAATCCGTCTCTCTGGACAGCAAATGGAATTGAGCTAACAGCTGAATCAGATAAAGAGCATTGATCCCCTTGTGTGATTCATTAAACAGTTAAACTGAAAGATACTATTTTGCTTGGTTATCAGGAGGATATAATGTCGTTACTGTATTTCGTCCCTGTTATTTTGACTGTTAACATTTGCTGCCCTCAAAGCAGAGCCAATCCATATGTTGTTTACTGTTTATTTTTTCCTACCTCTAGGTGCTTTCTTAATTCCTTATGTCCTGTTCCTTGTGACCTGTGGCATACCTCTATTTGTGCTGGAGACGGCACTGGGCCAGTACACTAGTCAGGGAGGAATCATGTGCTGGAGGAAGGTCTGCCCCTTGTTTGAAGGTGAGCTAACCACTGGAATTGTGGTGAAGCAGATCAATGAAGAAAAACTGAGGGAATGCAATGTTAACAGTTATGTTGTTTCCAGGCATGGGATACACCAGCCAAATGATCATTTTCTATGGAAGTATCAGCTATATTGTGATTTTAGCCTGGGCTTTTCTCTACTTGTTCTCTTCCTTCTCTGGAGAGTTGCCATGGGCCACCTGTAATAACACCTGGAACACGAGTAAATTCAATTTTCTGTCCCACATATACATCAACAAATTACTGACTTAATTGGTAAATGAATTGGAAGTATGTAAAGATTGGATTGAAATGTTAATATGCAAATATTCACACAACTATACATTTATGAAATACTAAAGCTAATGTTCACAATATTTAATGCAGTATTCACTTGTTGATGTGTCAGCAGAGCGTGTTTAACAAGATTTTGATACATTTCAGATCGTTGTGTAGAAATTAACAACTACAATACTACTGCCAACTGGACATCACCTGTGAATGCATCATCTTCTGTTTTAGAGTTTTGGCAGTAAGTCACAAATCAGAGATAATTTGTTAACAATCCTCAATATTGTTTCAAAATGTATGTAAATTCAGATACGTATATTACATGCATTACATGGCTGTTAGCATTAATGGTAATTAATGGTAATTTATCATGTAGTTTGGAGGGCTTCACATTCACTATATTAAGTAGACCTAGTTAGTACAAGGGTAGATCCATTTTTTTTTTTGCCTTCAGAACTCCCTTAATTCTTTATACCATAGATTGAACAAGGTGCTGGAAACATTTCTCAGAAATTTGCACCACATCCCAAAGGTGCTGTATTGAATTGAGATCTGGGTACTGTGGAGGCCAGAGGGGTACTCAATGTCATATTCAAGAAACTATTTTGAGGTAATTAGAGCTTTGTGACATGGTGCATTATCCTGCTGGAAGCAGCCATCAGAAAACGGGCACATTGCGATCATAAAGGGATGGACATGATTAGCAACAAAAGTCAGACAGGCTGCAGTATTTGAACATCACTCAATTCATGTTGTTTACGTCAGTTCATGTTGTTTACCATCTGAATGTGTGAGCAAAAATCAAAGCTCATCAAATCAGGCAAAACTTTTCTAGTCTTCAGTTGACCGACTCTGGTGAACTTACTGGAACTATAGCCTCAGTTTCCTGTTTGTAGGTGTTTGGAGTGGCACCCAGTATGGTCTTCTGCTGCTCTCCATCTGCTTTCATGTTTGATGCATTTTGTATTCAGATATGGTCTTCTGCACGCCTTGGTTATAACAACTAGTAATTAGGGTTACCAATTAGCGGTATTGGGGTATTGGCCTTGTTGATGACCTCTGGCATCAGCAAGCTAATGGTTTTCTTTGACCATTAGCTATAAACTGTGGATGGTGGCATAATCCCAGTAGATTAGCGGTTTCTAAAATACTCAAGCTACAACTGGCTTATCTGTAATCATGTTCAGAGTCATGTAATTCACACTTCTTTCTCTTGTTGATGATCACTTTAAAGTTCAGCAGGTTGTTTTGACCACATCTAAGTGCATGAATGCACCGACTTGCTGCTATCCTGCTGGCTGATTAGATATTTACATTAATACAGTTCTACCTAATAAAGTGGCCAATGAGAGTAAGTGTCATTAATTATTGTTTTTCTCTGGCTTTAATTGCTATGATAAGGGACTATGATAACAGATCTTTTTTGCAAAACACTTATTTGCTACTATTTGATGAGTACTATAATAAGTATCATTTGATACTCATTATAGTATTCTGGGTATACTGACATATACTTTATAACACCAGTATAGTTTTTAAAGAATTTTACTTGACTTTTTAAAATGAGAAGTACAAATCTAGAGGAAATTATAGGTTAGGAGTAGTATGAAATGTCATGTGTCTGTTAAGCAGGGTTTAACTGTTATGACACATTTAGAATGTGTAGAACACCAAAACTAAATTAAAAATCTTACAGAAATATCCCACATTTTGATAAATGTTTAGTGTGAAGATGCTTTAGATACAAGTAGTAGGGTCTGTTACTTCTTTTGACATTTTGCTGTCAGTGTGTAGAGATCTACAAACTGTTAAACTGATGTCTCAGTCACTTTTTTGATGTTGCTCTGTTAGGGTGGAGCGTAGTTGCCCCTGGCATTAAACACTTAATTTGGCCATAATAACTGAAAACACCCATGTACTGAAGGTGTGAAGGGCTTTTAATTGCATGTTGAAGCTTGTGTCATTCTAAATAGTTTCATGAGCTTTAACTTCAACAGACCTTTCATGCCGAACCCAGTGACTTGTCAATCTATATGTAAGTACTTAAGTAGTCCACTGTGTAAGTATGCTGACATCAGTTTTCTAGCCACACTCACTGAATCTTCATTTTTAAAGTCTTTGTGAATTAACTAGATTCAAATTTTTACAAAAGAGTAGGTTTTACCCGACTACATACATTGGTTTAAAAGACCTTTCCATACACTGATAGTACGTCTTCTTTCAGGCGTCGGGTGTTGAATATATCCAGCGGCATAGAGAACTTGGGAACCATACAGTGGGACCTTTCTCTGTGCCATCTTCTAGCCTGGGTCATCTGCTACTTTTGTGTTTGGAAGGGAGTAAGATCCACGGGAAAGGTAACACTAAAAGGAAAAATGTTGAGTCGCATTTTATACCCTCAGCAGTTTTCAGCAGTTGTCACTGGCTTTCAGGTTCTTCAGGGAATCATTCAGATTCATTTCATGTTGCACAGTGTCTTTGTAGCTGTTGCCAATTTTATTGTGAAAATCTAATTTTCATTTATTTGGAGTTTTCTAGAGATAGACAGATGTTTTGCATACTTTCTAATCTGGATTTGTAAACTTTTAGGCACACCTGTTTCCTCAATTTCCCTTCACGACCTTTGTATATCCGTTAGTTGTGTAAGCATGAAATTACATCACCTACTGACATAAAATGCGGTTAAGTTGTTGTGTAGTGAGGTGAGATGATCAGTGGCTGCTGTTATAAAAATCCCAAATTGTTTCGGTACTGAGCTCAAATTACTTACTTGCTACTACTTGTTCTCAGAGTGATTAAGGTGTGGTGTGAAGAAAAATGAAATGATCAGAACTCCCAGACGTCCACTGCTTTTTTTCCCCCTTCAGGCTGCCGCCATGGCAGTCGTTCAGTCTCACATTTGCACATGCCTGGCTATCATACAGTATATTCGAACCACACCACAACACATAACAGCCGAAGTTGGCACAAAAGAGGGTTATGAAAGCAAGTTTTGCAACTGTTATGGACAATACAGCCTCCTTTTAATAAACAAAGGAAAATATAGCAATATTATATTCTTGTACTTCTTTATGTTATTTCTTGGTCCAATGTGTCGCACATGATTTAAATTCTGGTCATGGAAGTCGCAGTTAAATAAGAATGGTATTATGCATTTGGTGTTACCTCCAAAGACCAAATGCAAATATTCACACAACTGTGAATATTGTTCACAGTTGTGTGACTTGTTGAATAATATCTTGATGCTGACATTAACAGCATGGCCTCATCATAGCGTGTGGTCATAAACAAGTAATCCTTAATTTAAAACCTAATTTATTTTTTATATATATACAGGCAACATATTTCACAGCCACGTTCCCCTTTGTCCTGTTAATCATGCTGTTTGTCAGAGGAATGACCCTTCCTGGAGCCTTCCATGGTATCAAGTACTACTTGTATCCCAATCCTGAACGGCTCGCTGACCCACTGGTATGATTCAGCCTCATTTCTTAATCGTGTCAGACATTTCTGCAGCGGTGTTTATGAACTAATAACTTGGTTTACAGGTCTGGATGGATGCTGGAACACAAATATTTTATTCTTATGCCATATGTTTGGGATGCCTAACTACACTTGGGAGCTACAACAAGTACAACAATAACTGTTACAGGTGAGCTCCTCACGAAGATGTGACAAACATTTTAGTTTGTATGTCAGTGGCTGTCTCCAAATACTTTGCCACTAAATGTGTTTACAGCAGCTTTCTTACTTTCTGAAAGGCTTTAGCACTGGTCTAAGTAAATAACACATCAAGAAAACACATACTTGAAAATGATTTTGATTACAGCCCTTGTAATATGTGCATCCATTACCCCTTCTATTTTTATTAACCTTTAAGCACAGGTAGACATTCAGTCACCGTACAAAGCACTTTTCTATCTTACTAACCTCTTAAAGCACTTTAGACTACAGATCACATTTTAATCACACATTCATGTAGTGCTTTATTCCATGCACTTTATTATTTATGTATTCTATGGGCAGACTCCAGTAAAACCATACTGGATTACTGGCGACCGCAGTCCTTGTTTTTTGCTCTCAAGGAGATCCCTGAGAATCTGTAGCAGCTGTAGAACTGGTTTATAAACATCTGCACTGAACTCACTAAGGCTGCAAAGAAAAGCAATCTGTGCTGAGAAGCACCTTGTTAACTGAATTAGCACCTCAAGCACTACCGCAAACAGAATATTAACCAGTGGGTAACAATGAAAGTGTTTCCCACAGCCCATTATCTTTTTGTTGTCTTAAAGAAAATAGTGACATTATGCTTTCTTTCTGATTTGCAGAGACTCCTTTTATCTTTGTTTGTTGAACAGCGCGACCAGCTTCATGTCAGGCTTTGCCATTTTCTCAGTTCTGGGTTACATGTCGCAAAAGCAGGGTGTCGACATTGCTACAGTCGCTGAGTCAGGTACGGATGTCAGTCTGAAAAGTATTTGAGTCTGGCTTTTTTTTTTTTTTACCTCATCCATTATGCAAAAAATAAAAACAGACTAACATGAAAGCTTGTGATTTAGTTTCAAAGTTGATCCAAGTACAACTCTGGACACAAGAATTTTTAAAAGAGCTTCTTTAACACTGCAAGCAGATTAGTTCTTTCACACAACACATGCATCAAATTGAAAAAAGAGGAAAATGTCATCTAAATGTTCTCAAGATAATATCATGAACTCAGCTGGATCCAGCAGCTCAGTTCATGGAAGCAGTTTTCAGCCTTGGTCGAGGTGTATGAGCTCTTATTTTTCATTTTTATAGTTAGGATTTTTAGACTTAAATTTTAAAATTATCCACAAGCATACAGGATCAGCTCTGGCACTACTGACTTTGACAATATAAGGCATGATGCTGGGGAATTTTCACAAGCATGGAATGATTGTCCCTTATTTCCCAAGACTTGGAGCAGCTTGTGCTTGTAATACTGAAATGTCTGTACTCCATGCTGTGTAGTGTGTGCTCAACTACTGCCAACCAAAATTGAGTAAGAATGCCACCCAGGGTTTCTGTAGTCAATAACAACCCCAACACATGAATGCAGCACACATTTTATTATCAGATGGTCTGTCAGTCAATATCATAGAGCAATATTTGTATTTTTGGCCATCAGGCTGTTCTATTTAGCAGTAGCAATAATTAGTTATTGTTAATATTTCTTCCCTCACACCCAACTGGTCACAGCAGATAGCCGCCCCTCCCCTGAGTCTGCTTCTGCCGAAAGTTTCTTATCATAAAAAGGACGTTTTTCCTTCCCACTGTTGCCAAAGCGCTTGCTCATAGAGGGTCAAATGATCGTTGTAGTTTTTTTCCTTTTTTCTCTGTATTATTGTTGAGTCTTTACTTTAAAATATTAAGTGCCTTAAGGACACTGTTGGAAACATAAACCTAATGCATCTATCTTTCCCGGCTGTTGTTTTGAACTACTATGTACAAAAAAACACTACTATTATGGAAAATGTTGTTTTCCATTAACTACAACCTGCTTTCTGGAGGCATATTGCATCCCTCAAGGGACTATGCATGCCTTTTCTATCTACATAAAGTACACCGTCTTTCAAGGTTTTACATTTCAGTAAATTTAAAAAAGGCAGAAGCAGTGTATGAAAAACTAAGTGGACTGAATGTTTTATTAGCTTGTGGAACCATCTTTAGCAGGAATAACTGAAGCAGTTGTTTTCTGCATTACTTTATCGGTTTCTCGCATCATTCTGGAGGAATCGTAGCGCTCCCTGCTTCTTAAAACATAGCTTCTCTTCACTGAGGTTTACGGACATTCATTTATTCGCAGCTCTCTTAAGGTAGCCACACAGCATTTCTGACTTCTTAATTTCAGCTTGAATTTAGGCCTATTTAAATGTATATAAGAAATCAGCACCTTACTGGTAATTCATTTTCTATTCCTACCATTTAACATGTTTCAGATTTATTTGATCCAATCTGCATTTCCTTAACAATTGTACAACTCCGTAATGATCATAAAGTTGTCATTTAGAGACACTTTGGCATCTGTTTCACTTTGTAGGTCCAGGCCTTGTTTTCATAGTCTACCCACAAGCTGTGACCCTGCTGCCTTGGCCTCAGGTCTGGTCTGTGTGCTTCTTTGCCATGATCATCTTGTTAGGAATAGATGGTCAGGTGAGTTGCAGTTTTTTTTTATATCTCCTAAGAAAATGTAATGCAGTATTGTTTTTTTTTTTCTTCTGGTTAACTTACCTCGACACTAACCTGTCTTTGTGTAATTCTCAAGTTTGCAGGTCTTGAAAGCATCATGACCTCTTTGACAGATGTCTTCCCCTCCCATTTAAGGAAAGGATATCACAGAGAGCTTTATCTGATGCTGATCTGTGCGCTTTGCTATCTGTTTGGCCTGTTATTGGTGTCACAGGTGAGATGTTTAAAAACAGCATAATTATTATAACTTTCATGCCTGAAATTCATTTCATAAAAGTTGGAACAGTGGCAATGCAAGACTGGAAAAATGTAGTGCTACAAAAAAATGATGGTTGTGTAAATCTGAATATTTAATGGAATCTGCTTTTATATGGATCTTGTTCAGTGTTTTTGTAAATGCCCCAGGCTTGGTGGGCTTGGTATCACGGGTATAACAAAATGGAAATCAAAACAAGGGAAGCACAAAAATCACATGTCTGCATGTGCTCAGGGGAGTCTGGGTGTCCTGCGAGGACACTTCAGGTGTATGTGGTACTGGGCCCGTTGCTGTGGACTTTTAGTTCCTTCACAACAATAGTGAAACCTCGCTTTGAATTAATAGCAATGTCAGGTTTGGTGGGTGTTGAATTCCCTTTGTTTCTGATTCTGTTCAAAATTCTTATTAATACATTTGTGTGAGACATAATGGACTCATGATCACAACCTTGCTTTTTGTGTATGATGTGATCCTTCAGGCTTCATCAAGTGGCAGTTTGCTGGCAAATGGGGAGCAGCAATGATGAGAATTACCACCTTGAAATCTGATTGGATTGGAATGCCTGCTCCAAGTTGGTTGGCATTGCTGCCACATGTAGAAAAGTTCAAGTACCTCAGGGTCTTGAGTGGGGAGAGTGGTAGGAACAGTGACAGGGATGTTCATAGCCTCACTTATAACCACGAGCTATGGGTTGTGGTCAAAAGGACAAGATTGGAAATAATTAGCAAAAATGGATGTACGTTGAAGGGCATCTGGGACTTAGGCTTACAGTTACAGAGCAGTTTGGTCAATTTGTAGGCAAGGTGTTTTTAGAAGGGTTAGGAAGGATGGCCCAGGCAGGACACAACAGAGTGATGGGGGTGTGGGAATCTCATCAACCCAGACCTGAGTGGAGAAGCGGCTGTCTTTCAAAACTGCAGCAAATGGTTTCTTCAGTTCACAAAGAGCATATTAACCTAATTAACCTAATTTATTGGTAAACATGCCCCTGTCTGGAGATTTATGAAATTTGTTGATGAGATTTTGTCCTAATGCTTCTTTTAGTATAATATAGAGTTCACTTTGCTTTCTAAGTTTGTAGGATATCAAAGTTGTTGATATACTAGATAATAAGTGTGAATAGCTTCAAGATTAACATGATGAATGTTTTAATTTTAGGCTGGTGCATACATTCTGCAGATCTTCGATCACTATGTTTGCAGCGGTCCTACTCTGCTGCTGATGGCAATTTTCCAGTCAGTTACGATTGGATGGATTTATGGTAAGACAAAATTATTATTGTTATAAAAGTCTTTGGTTTGTATGTCTTTTTATAGTGACGTCCTAATAGCTGTCCACTATTATTACCAAAATATATCTTGTAAATCTCTATACATGCTGTATATACATACACATGTAGGGCTGGATTTACAGCACAAAGCATTTTTGGTAATTTAAAAGCAACTGTCAGGACCTGCTAAAGAGGCACAGTATCAACTGAAAGATGGGGATGCAGGTTTTTTTGCTATTGAACTTATTGCATCTTATCGTATCTGCAGAAATCTTGAAATGTACTGAATTTAATGCAGACAAAAGCAGGTCTGTTTTCATACCTGATGCAGTGTTTTTTGGAAGATATTTGCGACATGTTATTATTTGCATAATCAGCACGAGTGGATAGCTGAATGGTGTGAGTCCCCAAGCCCCCCACACCCAGCCCTGTATCTTTTTTTCTTATATTTATCTTTCAAGGAGTCAGATTATCTTATTATATTTTTTAAGTTGTCTTGAATAATACTCCAGGCTTTCTGAAGGTATTTCAAGGTTTTTCTTTGGACGTTGGCTGTTTTCACTTATTGTCAGTCCAGTTCTTGTACCGGCCCATTTTCAGAGGAATGTTTTATTTTGTTTGTTAAACACATAACTCAAGGGATGTGTCTACAAATAAAATACAAGCAAATAACTGATTTTATATTGTATCTTCAGGCAAAAACATAATTTATTCCCTTTTCTTTGGTTGATTTTATGACAAAATAGCATAAAGTAGTATTTTTGTACCAACAAGGTGATTCTCAAAGACCTATTAGCTGAAAACCTGGCATATATTAGCATGGTATGCAGTGTGTCCTTAAAATAATTTGAGGAACCTGAACAATTGACAAAGACCTCCTCCTTAAAGGAAGCTGAGAGTTTACAGCCCATATTCACTGTATAACTCATTTGAAAAAGCGGTCATTGTAAAAACCTTAAAAATATAATTTTGTTGTGGGGAAATATTAAAAGTTAAACACAAGTTTCTTTCTAGTAAACTGTCTCTGCTCTAGGTGCCGATCGCTTCTACACCAACATTGAGGACATGATTGGATACAGACCTCTGTCACTGATCAAGTACTGCTGGCTCTATGCCACCCCTCTCATTTGCAGTGTAAGTTTCTAAAGCAGCTTCTGTAAACAGTTTATCAGTATGCTCTATTCTCATAAGATAAGCTTTATTAGTCCCACATATGGGAAATTCATCCCATAATGTTTATTATTTATATGTTTTCTTTTGAAGGGAACACTTATATTTTTGCTCCTGAGGTACACCCCTCTGAAGTTCAACAACACATACATGTATCCTTGGTGGGCTTACTGCATTGGCTGGTTCCTCGCGCTGTCGTCACTTTCTATGGTCCCAGTCACTATGATCTACAAACTGGCCAAAGGAAGAGGGAGTCTCTGGCAGGTCAGTGATGTTGTTAGTGTCGGCTGTTAGTGATAATAACTGATAATACCTGATAATAACTGACAATATTAATTCCTTTACCAAGCGTCTGAAGACCAGCTCCCAGCCTGCAAGTGATCTTCGAGGAATGGAAAAGGAAATGATAAATGTCCATGATTCACTACGTGCCCCAAAATAACTGTTCAGCCTTATTCACTGAAATGCAAATCTTTAAATGTACCTTTTAATTTGCGTTTTAAATAATACTTAAGGTGTGGGTCCTCTATTATGCACATATATGGTGGCTGGTATTAATATTTTTTATAAGGTGAAAGGGTCTATCTGAAGCATGAAATGTCTGAATATCTGTTAGAGGCTGAATGTATAAAATACTACACTGATATGGAGCCTCTGATATGACTTTAATTTGCATTTCAAATACCTCAAACCCTAACAATAACATTTTTACTTGACTTTTTACTTTAAACTCACTACGAACACACAGACGTTGAGATTGAAAAGAAACTTACAATTATTATTTATAGACCAACACAGTGAATAGAGATTTTAAAACTAGTGCTGTCGGCGTTAAATCTTGTTAGAATGACGTTAACACCATAACCGCATTAACGCAGCAAATTTCCGTTAACGCGGATCGCCATGGTGACAACGCGCCGTGCAGCCCCTCGCACCGTGACAAGTTTTTTTTTCTTTTTTAGAAACATAAAAGCAAGGTCTTTTAGTGTTTAAAAGTATTGAGCTGAAAACACATATTCACAGTTTAACACGTTTTTATGATGATCACTTTTTTAATGATTTCCTACATCAACTGCTACTTCTGTTGTGTTTTTGTGATGTTTCATGGAAATCTGGGTTATTTTAACACAACGTTTTTATATATTCATACAAATTGAAAAGTAAAAGGCTGTTTTTCTGTTCCTCTCTCAGTCAGAACCTGTTTTATAAACTATATCTATCATCATTCTGGCATTAAGTTCTAAATACTTAAATAACATGGGGACCTGCGTAGAAACACCTTCATAACATTTAAAATGAAAAAGATTAGCTTCACTAAGCTTGTAGCTTTATTTTGGTTACAGCTACAACATACAAGATACAAAATGCTTTATAACATACGCATGAAAAATAAAAACTTACATTTCATAGAACAAAGGTCAACATTGCTACATGCTGACATGCTAAGTAATGCCAAGGATCGCACATCAAGTTTTCAGTGTTCTGAACCTTTTTTATGTTTATCTTCCTATAGCTTTTTGGCTGAAATACACTGAATGTAAGCAACAGAGGTCAGTTTTGTTTTTGTTTTTTACTTCAGACTCCTTTAGTGCCCCCTCCTTTTTTAATTACCTGGAACTGAGGAGTAACTATGAAATTGTGTCCTTTGGAAAGATTTCTCCTTGACGTTTTCTGGTATGTGTTTCATGTTGCTTGTGCTACACACACATATCAGGAAACACTAGGCCTAACGATCCGTATGTATTTTAAGCATTCAGAGTATATTTCATGATATTCTTTTTTTTATCAACATGTATAATAAACCAAATAAATATTGCTCTTCAAGTCTGTCAAAAAGTGGTTAATGTTTGCTCCTTACATTTATAACTGAACTCCTACTTTTACTTTAAGGTGCATTGTATTTTCTTGGATTATTGTATTGGTTACAAGACTTTTTAAATGTGTCTTGATATTTGACCTTGAATTTGTATAATAAAATACTTTGGGGAATAATTTAGCTTTCACTGTGAAAGCTTTTCTGTAATTTAAGTGAATGTGTTGAGAGAGTGTGACAGATACAGACTCTATGGTGCAGGCCAATCCATGACTGATCAGTTTCCATTGTGTCTTTGGAGCATTGACAGATCGTTTGGGCTTGTTGTCATGCTAGAAAATAAAACTGTTGCCAATCACATGCTTTCTAGATGGCATTGCATGGTGGATGACAATCTGATGGCACCTTTCTGTGTTCATAATTACATTAATTTGAAAAAATCCCAAACAACTGGCTGAAATTCAGCTCCTCCAACATGCTTTACAGATGTTTGTAGACACTCGTTGTGTCTATCCGGAGCTTTCATTTTACAGATATGCAGTAATCAATATTTGATTGATGCTGCTCGTCATTTAATTGCTCTCGTGGTTTTATTCTTGTTCCTTGCGGAGTTAAAACTTATAACCAATACACATTGTAATAATCAATTTGGCTTTAAAACGGAATTTGTTTTGATAGTGATAACTAAGTAGGAATGTCTAATAGTTTGGTGGATTAATATTGTCTACAGGTTATTTGCACAGCTGAAGAAAACACATTTTACTTACATTAAAAAGATATTTATTTAAAAAAAGCAACCAAACAAACAAAAGTTTCATTTAACTGGATACATTTGCTCTGAGAATTTTGATATCATCAGCTGGACGATCTTGGCTGTTCGTCTCCACCATCCCAATCCGGTTCAGCACTCCCATTCCCTGACACACTCTTCCAAAAATACTGTGCTTTCCATCTAACCACTGAGTGGGTGCGAGGGTGAGGAAGAACTGACTGCCATTGGTGTCCGGCCCCGCGTTGGCCATCGCTAGAATACCAGCACCTAACAGGCACAGAGACATAATGAGAAATTATAAATGTCCTCACTATCAGTTATCACACAGGTATTTATCGGGATCACTGGACTCAGTTTATTCAGCTGTGAACTAAAGAAATGTTTCAAAAACACCAGAAACCTTTACAAGTTATTGGTATACATGAACTCTACTGAAGATTTGAATCTAAAAATAAAGCGTCCATATGTGAACATGTGCATACAAATACCAGATTAAGACATCAGTACTGACACACACAAATGATTTGAAGGATTTGCTCCAGAGCCTGTCTTTATAAGCCTATAAAAGCTTCTTCTACGTGCATTACCTGTGAATTTTAGTTCTGGGCGTAGTTCATCCTCAAACTGTTTGCCAAAAATGGAGGCACCACCTCGACCTGTTTGGAAAACAAACATTACAAGTGGCGCATTGGATGAGTTTTCTGAAGACCATGAACATGTGAAATTAATCAGACAGTAGTGACAGGGCCACTTTATTAGGTATACATATAACTACTCATTAATCTAAAAACCTAATCACATAGCAGTAACTGTAGACGTGTTCAAGACGACAATAAAGTTTAAACTGAGCATCAGAATGCAGAAGAAAGGTGATTTAAGTGACTTTGAACTTAGCAGGAGTACTTCAAAATTGCTGATCACGCAACCATCTCCAGGGTTTACAGTCTGTAAAAGAGAAAATTCTCTGGGCAAAAATGCCTCGTTGATGCCAGAGGTCAGATAAGAACGGACAGACCTCTTTAAGTGATATGAAGCCAACAGTAATTCAAATAACAACAACCAAGGTATGCAGAACACAGCGTATTGAAGCGTGAAGCAGACGGGATACAGCAGATCACACTGCGTGCCACTCCTGTTAGTTAAAAACATGAAACTGAGGCTACAATTCACACAGCTGGTGTTAATGGTGTGGGAGATATTTTGTTGGCACACGTTGGGCCCCTTAGTACCAGGTGAACATCTTTCAACAGTCAAAGCCTGCCTGACTATTATTGCTGACCATGCCCATCGCTTTATAGCCACAGTGTTACCCATATTCTGATGGCTGCTTCCAGTAGGATAATGCACCTTATCACAAAACTCAGATAGCCTGAAATTGGCTTGATTTACATTACAACGAGATCACTGTGCTCAAATACAGCACCTTGTTATACAATATTTGAAATTAACAAAACAACCCCCCCCCCCCCCCCCCCCCACACACACACACACTATATTTTCAGAAATACTTGTGGGTTTTTCTTGTTTGTTTGTTTTTTTGTACTACTTCAACACTAAAGTGGCCCTCACATGAGATGACCGTGCCTGCAGTGGCCCACAGCTCATTCAAGTTTGAGACCCCTGAAATACAGCATCATTGATGAAAGTTGAGCTTCAATAGTAGATGTCCAGCGGACAAAGCTGAATGTTTCCAACATCTTGTTCAACGTGTGCCATGAAGAATTAAGGCAGTTCTTTAGGCAAAAGGGGCTCCAACCAAGTATTAGCAAGGTGTGCCTAATAAAGTGGCTGATTAGTATGTATAAAAGAAGATTCGATTTAAGAAAATTACATATTTTTCTTGGAAAAATACAGACATGCTTTTGATGGCAAAGAAAAAGAACAACTGTAAAATATACAGTATTATAAGCATCTGTAAATATTATTTGCATATGCAAACACACCGTTTAATGAAGTTCTGTATTAACAAACAAAGCATCTGGTTAAAAGTCATGTGAATCACCTGAACACTGGATCTATATTAAGAGTTCTGACTGATTATAAAACTACGAGCATTAATATGCTGCTTCAACAGCCCTCATGATTCCATATAAGAATTTTGGAACCTGGCTGGTTTACAGCCAAATGAGCGGGAATGTAATATTGGGCAGCATCAACACCAAAACTTCATTTATGGAGTTTGCTTTGTGCACAGTCATAAAACAGTCATGTCAGTGTATTAGGGGAGGGGAAAAAAACACAACACATTGTAAATTGGAACAATACGAAAGACATCTACATTTACTTAGCTTCATGTTAAAGTGACTGACATGTTTAGTAATCTAGACACCCTTAAGTAGCATTTAGCCTACTCAAATCATGAACCTGTTACCCTAACATGTGGACAGTGGTATTCAAACACTTATCTGTGACGAACCCACCTGTTCCTGTGGGATCTCCTCCCTGCACCATGAAGTCTTTGATGATCCGGTGAAACTTGGTGTTGTTGTAGTAGCCTCTTCTGGACAGCTCTGCGAAGTTCTTGCAGGTCTTTGGTGCATGGTTCCAGTACAGCTCCACCACAACAGTCCCCATCCTGCAACGCACGGCCAGTTAGCATGTCTTTAGCGGCTCTGAATAACAAAGGCTGTCTCTTAAACTAGTTTTTAGCGGAAACGTGCTATGCTTCATGCGGTTTGTTAAAAAGATTGTGAAAAAATAAAATATGCAAAATTTATTAACGCAACAGACACCAACACTTCAGGTTCCTCAAAGCTAGCTGAGTTAGCATCCAGTGTTTCATTGGGGACTTACGTCGTCTCCAAAGCCACTGTGGGAGGCTGCCATGTGTCCGGAGGAATCCCCGACATTATCACCTCAAACCGTAAGCTACAACAGTTGTGAAAAAATGTTTCGTTAAACTTAAGTTCTAATAAGTAGCCAGGAATTTCTTAGCCCAGTGAATTCATTCAACACATTTCAAAAGGAGTTTCTTCTTCTGTGGTTTGCCGAGCATTTCCTTTGAATGTTAGAGAAAGGCTGCCATCTGCTGGACGAACTAAATGATACCACCCCTTTTTTTATTGTGTTGCTTACGTTTAGCATTCTTTACCAGCATCAGCTTCTCAGAAGTTCAGATTAACAGACGACTTTTTAACAGTGTTGTTACTAAGAATAAACTGAAAAACTACATTACAAACCACATTTCACTGTCATTTACGCTTTACTTTGTAAGAAAGAAAAAGGACCCTGTCTTAAAGTTTGGTTATCTGGAAATACATTTTGTCTTGATAATGTAGTTAAAGAGATTTCTAAATATGTATGATATAGTAAATACATTTAACAAAAGAAATTCATATCATTATCATCCCCTGTAGTAGTAATAATAGCAGCAGTAGTTTATGTCATTACTAATAAAGTGCTTCCAAGGTGCAGTAACACATGTATCTTATGCAACTGAAGGATCCCTGGTAAGATTGTAAGAAGAGACGCAGAGCCAGCCTCAGGGGGTGCTGATCCAACCGAGCCTGAAAAAGGAAAAGAGCAAAGACATCATTTAAAAACTGGGGGAGAGGGTATGTGTGGTTATGTGTGTGTGTGTGTGTGTGTGTGTGTGTGTGTGTGTGTGTGTGTGTGTGTGTGTGTGTGTGTATTGCTACGTAGTATCTTAACTGGACAGAGACCTCTGATGTTGCGCCTGGAATCTGCTGGACCCACTCTCCTAGTTTGCAGCTTACAGCTCCTAATGCTAAATAAGCAGCTGGAAAATATAGTGGCAACATGAGAAGTGAGCTGCAGGTGCTAGACAGACGTCACGTCTGTCTAGCACAGCATGCCTACAGCAAGTCTACACTGTTCAGCTACAGCATAAGCTGCTTACATATGAATCCCAGATTTTTGTTTAATGACTTCGGTTGAAGCTGAAAAGATTTTATTTGTCGTATATGTCATATTAATTTAACTTAAATGTCTTGATAGATAAAAATTACCAAATTACATCATTGTCCAAAAATTATACTGACATTACTCTGCATTTGTAGTTATCACTTGTTTCACTTTAATAAAATGTTGTCTTTTAAACTCAGATTTGATCCCATCATCTCTCCCGTTTAAGCTTTTTAAGCTTTATGGAGGTGAGAGGACAGACACATGGACAGACGTGTGGACAGTCTGTCCTGCCTCTTTTCTGAAGAAATCTCTGCCTCTGAATCAACATCTTATGTCCTTCGGTGCATTTTTATTTCTGGAAGTATTCTTAAAAGCATTGTAATACATGTTCTGGTTCATGATGTCAAAGCAGGATTTGAATTGAAGGTCTTCCTTAACCAGCTTTGAGTTTACTCTCCCATTCATCCCAGGCTTGTTGATGATGGTCACTGGGTGATTCTAGCACCCCTTGTTGACCCTGTCTAAAACTGCTCCTCAACAGGAG